ACTAAAAATTACATACTTTTACTCAAAATCTAGTGTCATGATCTAATTTGATTTCTCTAAGTTAGATTTAATCTAGTCTGATCCACAATATGATCGATCTAGTCCATTCAAACCAATCTTTGTGAAAATTTCTTAAAAGTTGCATTATGAAAATTTGTCTAACAATCTTTGTGATCTTTACACTATTCACAAATCTTGCTTTGGACACGATTTTCTCATAAGAAACATAATCAAATTATTATGTATAAAATGTTATTAAATTCCTATCAATGTGAACTTCGAAAATATCAACTTTCTATCATGTTTACTAATACATAATTACATATAATTACAGTCAAAGTTGTACTTTGGTAAACGTGAAAGTCAAACTGTTGCAAGAATTAAAGAACGAAGGATAATACATATATAGTTCAAAATACCGTTATGCAACTTACCCTGCTTTATACGTTGCCTGTCTCCGTTAACAAACAGTACTTTCAAATAAGTTAAAATCTCCAAGTGTCTAACGTGAAGCCGTGTTTGATAAGGTGGATAAGCAAAAACAAAATAAATAAATAAAATATGCACTCTATTGAAACTGAAATACTAGCGGAATGAATTAGACTTGTTTGGCAATACAGAGTCAAAAAAATGTTTTAATGAGTATAAACAAAATAGATTTTGAATACAAGAGTAAAGTTGAAAAAGTTTGCGGTATGATGAGTGTTTTCTCGCACTTAAAATAGATTGTAATATAGTGGTGTAAGTACGAGTATCGTCTCCACAGGGACGCACAAAAGGGAATCAAGAATTAATTAAATTCAGCGATTAAAAAGAAAATAAAATAAAAGCGTCGTGCGAGATTGGTTGGTTTGGAAAATAAAACTAATGCGAACAATTAAACTAGGGGGTTCTTTCTAATTAATGACGAAGGGAACAGGGATCGATTCCGGGGTAACCAGATTTCTGGCAGATCAGGCCTAATTACATGAAATTAATTTAATTGAGCCTAGCTAATCATTACTAAGTTCTTACCGCTCTCGCGGCGTAGAGTACAATAATTTAGGGGACCAGGCTGATCTCTCATGCGACAGGATCCTAAATTATCGCCAAAACGAGCGAGCTTACGGCCCCTTAATCGCTACTAATCTCTTAGCGAACGATTAAGTTTGTGTGAATGTGTCCTAGAACAAATTTGATCTCTCTTAATTTATTCTACATGCAATTGTAATTCTAGCTGCAGTCTAGGTTACAAGAGATATCAGTTAAATTATTCAAACACAAATTAAACGGCATTCATGCAATTAAACCGACAAGAATCTAGTCAACAATCATGATTAACCCCTTCATCAATCCCAAATCCCTAATTAAAACTACTCACGATTCATAATTGAAGAATCAATAGAATTAGAATAAAAAGAATTATTTGTCATTAATTAAAAAGGTGGAACTTACAAAGAATACCAAAAGATTGATGAACAAGGCTGAAAAACCCTCTAAAATTCGTGCTAGGCACTCTCTCTAAGCTCCCCGCTTGAAAACGGGGGTTTACAGGCTGTTTAAATAGAAAAATCGGGTGAAATTTGAGCTGAATTAGGATTTTCGGAGCCAGACACGATGCCATGCACGATCGTGCCTTCGATTGTGCCTCCGGAGCAAAAACGCGCATTTTGGGCAGGCACGATCGTGCCTCCCTCCAGACACGATCGTGCCTGGCTGGCAGTAACTCCGCGGTACTTTTCTCTTCAGGCACGATCGTGTCTGACTTTGAGGGCACGATCGTGCCTACTTAACTTCCGAATTTGACAAAACTTCCTTCATGAAAGTTGTAGATAATGAAGTCCTCTATCCACCCCAATTTGCCGAATGTGATTTGAATCATCCAATCAAGAGATATGATCCAAACGGTGGAAGGTGTCTTTCTGAAATCGCAACAGAGATCATCTAACTGCATCGTCTGTTTTCACCTTATTCCTCTCAGATTCTTGCAACGGTGTCTTCATATCATTTGTAGCCCTTGAAGTTAGCTTTCATATGGAACTTGAATCGTGTATATTGGATGTTTCTACAAAAAGATATGCTTGAACGATTGACCGAAGGTCATCCTGATCGTCGTTTTCAAGCTTCATTCATCTTCTTTTGACCCCGTAGCCAATCCTAGAGCTCTTTTTCCTTCAAATCTTCATCGTGAATCTTCCGGTGACCTCCAAAGCTATCAAATCATTCTCAAATGCTTCTCAAATCATCCCGATTGTTCCTCAAGTGCCGGTGCCGGGCTCAAATTCCCTGATTTTGACTACAAACAACACAAAACTCGAACCAACGCCTGGTAAACATAACTTGAGCTAAAATTGAGACTTGTAACACCTTAAAACTAGAAAAATCATCAAAAGCCGATCTCAACACGCATCAAATATGTGTCAAAATACGGACTTATCACGGTATAAATTGGTGAACACAAATACTAATAAGATCTACGCAATGAACTTTTGGTAAATTAGATATTAGATATTCAAACACACACCGAAGGAGAACTCTCAGGTCACCAATTCGCTCGCGGTTCGTCTCAGGCTTTGAAAAAAATTAAAGTATACAAAAAATATACACTTTTTGTGTACTCTTTCTAATTGTCTGTATACATATTCAACTCATTGTTGGTGTATATAAGGAGTGTACACTATATAAAAGTAAGAACCGTTTCGGACTTTATTTACCCAAATCCAAACCATCAAACTGGCTGTCTTTATATTGTAATTATGAATAAGTTTGTTGGGCCTAAACAGTGAACTCAAATGTACAACGTTTGCAGCATAATCATGTGAGTAGGGATGGGTACACATACACTACCCCCAAGTACCAATTTTGATTATTAGTGTTGGGCGTGTTTCAAAAAACAAAGAAAATTAATTAATAAAAAATTAATTAAATAAAATGACAAAACGAAAACAAGAAATGAGATGAAGCAGAACAAGTCAAAGCTCGTGCAACGCACGATTTTCTTAAAACGTATTCGTTGCCTCCCGGGGTGCTAGGAGCGTTGCAACGATCGTTTCCCAGGATACGATGGCTTCGAACGATAGTTTAGCACACAAACTAAAGTTTCAACGAACGTGAACAAAGCAAGAGCACAGAAGGAATTTTTGGGAGAAGGCTGGAGTGTTTTTAGAGCTAGAAACAAGTGCAGTACGTATGAGTGTTGTTTTTAAGTCCATATGAACGTTAGCCATGCATTAGTGGCATCCGGACGTTGGCAGTTAAAATTAACGTTATCTATAGAAGATATATTTTCGGACGGCATTCGTGTGTGCAGGTCGCCCGCACACGCAAGTCGCGCTTTTTGTTCTTCGGTTTCGGGATTTGATCTGCACCCCCCCCCCCCCCCCCCTCTGCGCGCGTGAGAGAGCCTTTCCCTTTAGGAATCTTAACTCCTTAGGGGGGTTTTCCCTTATAAAGGGTTGCAAATCCCTTGTGATTTTCGGTGTGGGAAAAACCATACCAAAAACTCACCTTTTCCTAGTTTTCTCCATTCCAACGGGTAAACTTTGAAAAACGATTTCTCATTCACCCGTTATCCGTTTTGAGCGTACCATATATCGAATTGTAGCCCTAAGCAAGGACAATCCGAAACCACTTTGACCCGAACCAAATCAGAAGTGGACCCCACTCAAAAAATTGCCCCAAAATGACCATTTAATGCAATTTTAACACACTTTTTCCAACAATTAGTACTCCGTAATAGTTTTTTCCTTCCCATGAAAAGGACATGCACCTTTTAATCTACCCAATAATTATCCAATTAGACAATAAGCCAGATTCTCTTACTCCGCAATCCGCAATGCGATTTCAGGTGTACATAATGCAATCATAATTACCCATAGGCAAAAAAGAGGGACACTCATTGCAGGATTATTTTATGCAAAGGCTTAGTTCCCTAACACAAGTGTTGAGTGACGCGGGCATAGCTCAATTGGTAGATAGGAATGACATAAGGAGTAAGTCTCGGATTCGAATTACGGCAACTTTAATGAATGATTACTATGTAAAAATGTGTAGAACTTCTACAAGTACCTGAATCGGAACATCACTCAGATTCTCAAGAATTAGGTGTCATTTTTTATTCCTAACACAAGTGTTGAACCGTTCTCAATCAATGGGTGTTATTTGATTGTTCAAATGATTGGTGATTTACTATTTCAACAACCAAAACTAGAAGTGATCGAGTTTCTAAGAACCAGCAAAACCACTGTGCAATAATTTAGTCCGTGATCTAATCGGTAGACAATGGGCAAGAAATTATAGGCAGCAAGGATAAATAATGAATGCCAAATTCAACTTTCGAAAAAATAGAAGTGTAACACCATACTCTATTGTAAGAAGTGTGGGAAAAAAACTAAGTTCATAGCATTCACATTTAATATTCCCATGTCCTTAGCCTTACTCGTGTTGTGGTGTGTGGGGCTATAACAACAACCATTGATTGACCTTGATGGGAAAGTAGAAAAAGTTGAAAACATACCTCAATGAAAGTCCATCTTTACACATGTTTTACTTATTAGTTTCACTTTTTCAGTATTTGGCATGTCTCTCCTTTTTCTACTAACTATTACGAGCACTACTATTGCTATATAGTTCATTTTCCTTTGGGAGACGTAAAAAAACCTTCCCCATATTACCCATACAAGATCTTCGGATAAACACAACCAAATCTATCACATGTAGAAACTTTTATCCCTTGATAATGTTTTACAAGGCTATGAAAACCATAGCCCCCACAAAACCTGAGCTGGGCACACCCCATGTGAGAAAACATTGCTAAATATCCAAATAATCCAACAATAGATGCAAAAACAGCTTATTGGAAGAAATGAGAATGGAACTGTGCAAAATTCCACTCTTTCTTTTTTACTTAGATAAGATACAGTGACAGCAACCTTAGCAAGCTAAAAGCAAAGCAAAAATGAGTTCAGGAATGGTAAAGATTCAATTTTTAAGACAAAGGTTTACACTAAAGCTGATTGCGGTAAGCTTAAAACAGAGATTTCCCATTTTCATTTCTTTCTTGTGATTCTTGACAACAAAGTAAAATGGGGAGTTATTGATTTATTGGGAATATGGATTAGGGAAGTATGGAATTTCAATCTAAACATAATCCTGTGAATACCCAATTCTTCATCTTTTTGTTTCCATACAACCGATCATCTAACCATTACAATACGTTACATGGAAATGATCACAAATTTCCATTTCAAAAAAAAAATAGTACAGAAATAGACCAAGAAAGATTGAAAAGCCAAAAGTGGAAAATTTGGAAATCAGGAAGAGAAATGCGGACGGGGAGGTAGCAATTGGTGTGTCTGATGAACCTGGCTGGGAATGCCAAGATTGTTGCTCGCCGTCCGGGAGCAGTGCTGCAAAATGAAAGGGTGGCGTAACAGATTCGCCGCCGTCCACCGTCGTGAAGGGTCCCTCTGCAAACAACAAGCGATGAAGTTTCTGAACTCAGTAGACGCCGTGGGCGGCGCCTCCGGCGGGTCAGACATACAAATGGCGCACATGAGGGTTGCCCAGTCCCCCTGCCTCCCGCCGTTGAACGGAAACCTGCCCAGGTAAAATTCCAAGATGCTCACGCCCAAGCTCCATATATCTCCGGCGAACCCATTGTACTGGCCGTGATTCAGATCGGAGTTGATCCTCTCCGGGCTCATGTAGGCAATGGTGCCGACGGAGGAGTTGCAATCCATGGTCGCCGCTAGGATTCTCGAGACCCCGAAGTCGGCAATCTTCACCACGCTCTGGGAATTGGTGAGCAGATTTGAGGGCTTAATGTCCCGGTGAACGATTTTCCGGCGGTGGAGGTACTCGAGGCCGGAGAGAATCTGACGGGTGAGGTGGGCGAGCAAGGGCTCGCTGGGGATGTGGGTCCCTTCCAGAGATCCCTTGTCCATGAACTCGAGGAGGACTTGGATTTCGCCGTTGTGATCGGACATATCGTGACATTTAACGATGTTGGGGTCGTTGACGTCCCGGAGGATCTCAATCTCCCGGCACATCTGGAGGCGGACGCCGTCCTCGTGGTGGCCGTGGATGACCTTCAGCGCGTACAGCCGGCCGCTCGGCCGGTGGAGCACCTTATAGACCGTACCGCCGATCCCACTCCCGACGCGGGTTATGCGCTCCAGCTCGGAGAACTTGAGAGGCGTGGTCGGGAGAGAGGAGCGGGATTGGGCTGAGGAAGGGGCGGAAGTGGGCGGAAGTGGAAGCGGGACGGCTAATCTCGGGTCACGCTGCGGCGGCAGAGGGAGGGTCAGGTCCGGTTTCCGCCGCTGGCGGTTGCGGTCCGCCGCCGGCGCTTGTGGCAGATTCGGGTTCATTGAAATTGGCGGAATACAGAGAGTCTATTTTGGAATTGAAATCCTCTACTGAAAATAGCAATTTGGAAAGCTCTTATCCGGGAGAAACGAGAAATGGGAAGAACAGTACATGGCGGAATAAGTCAAAAAGAGTCGCCGGAGAGAAGGTTCGGAGAATGGAGCAGGGAAACACCGGCGAAAGAGAGGAGAGGAAGAAATTATTTTAGTGATGAGAAGATTAATAGAGTGTGCTTGTGAAGTGGGGTCAGGTTTAGGATATTGACATGGACGCCGACGGTATTGCTTTCGGTACTCCTGCATGTTGAAATGACTTTATTACCCCCTATTTATGAATCAGTTTAATTTTGCAAGGGCACTTCAATAAAAATAATTACTGCATGGCTTGTAGAGTAATTGACACCTGTAACCGGTGGGCGTAGCTCAACTGGTAGCAAGGGAGTGTCACAAGGGTTAGGTCTTGGGTTCGAATCCCGGCAACTGCGATGAGGGGTTACTATGCTGAAAAATGCATAGGACTTCTGCAAGTATCGGAGACAGAGCCCCACTCTCTATCTGTCAGATTGTGATTATAGTCCAATTTACATCCTCTCATCGTGCCGTCCGGTCGGTGTTGGGGGCCCTCAGGGATGGGGTGTCATCCTTTTTTTTTGAGTAATTGACACCTGTAAATATTTCAGGAGATCAATATAAATAGTTGGGCCAAATTACAAAATTGGTAAATAAAATTACCAATGAGTGACATATATTAATAAAAAAGAGGCTTCCATGATATATTGGTAAAAAAACAACTTCAATCACAAATTGGTCCATTTTTGTGAGTGACATATTTTAGTTCTTGATTTTAGATTTTTCCGCATTAGTCCCCTAAATTTTAGATTCAGATTCTCTACCGTATGACGGAGTATCTTACTACAATCGACAATTAGATGGTAAAGAAGATGTGTTGATATAAGAGAAAAAAGTGGACTTAAAATCTCTTATTGTTTATGTTTTACCGAACGATTCCAAAAGGTCGGGCTCCATGCATTTCTGCTAGGGGTGGACTGAATCGGGCCGGTTCGGGCCTCGGGCCTGGGCCCGGCCGGGCCTCGGTTCAGAATATTGAGGCCCGAGCCCGAACCGGGGGTGGCCGGTTCCGGGCCGGTTCCGGGCCAGACCGAGCCGGTTCCGGGCCGGGCCACCCGCCCTATTTTTTTTTTTTTGGCTTCTTTATTTAATCCCCTACCCCTCTTTCTCAACCCCAAACCACCCCAAACCACCTCACATGGACCAAAATACCTAATCTAACCCAAAACATAAAAAAATTTTCAAAAAAAAAATAAAAAAAAAAATTATTTCCGGCCCGGGCCGGTTCACCATATGGAAGGCCCGGGCCCGGAACCGGGAACCACCGGGCCCGGAACCGGGAACCACCGGGCCACCGGGCCACCGGGCCGGGCCGGTTGCTACAGTGGCCGGGCCGGGCCGGTTCCGGGTCGGGCCGCCCGGCCCGAGTCCAAGCCTAATTGCTGCTAAAGAAGGCAGAGACATCAGATCTAATTGTCCCTCATTTTTTATATGCTTATTTCATACCGGGGTATGTATTGTATGCTCATTTGATACTTGTATTATGCTCATTTTAAAATATCTAATCAATGCACATTTCTTAAGTTGTGTATTTTCATTCAGTGCCTCTATTGTGCTTATTGTATAATATTATATCAATGTATATTGTTTCTTAACATTTACTCATTTGGGTATAACATTAAACTCACTTTGGTAACTTTTACGTGTAATAAATATTCTTACAACTCGCTTAATATTATTAAATTTATTTACCCAATTATAAATAGTTTATATATTGTGAAAATAATAATTTTATGGAGAATAATTTACAATCATATCAACTTTATTGTCATCATTTTATAATGTGACACCAATGTACATTTCTTTTAATCGATATAATCGCAATTACCATAAACCTATATGCAACTTTTGTTATGTTCAATTATAATCAATACATACATTTCTTTTAAATAACATATTCATTTAAATGTAAAATAAAACTAATTTCTATCAAATGTGTTACGAATATAATATACCCATTACAAATCACTTCAATTATTTATTTAGATACATTCATTAAAGTATGCTAATGTAGGGTCTTTGTTGTAAAATTTTGATAATGTCACTCAATGTTTAATTATTTTAAACAGTATACTGATTTAAATGTAGCCTAAAACCATTGCAATAACCTACACATAAAATATATTCATTACAAGGCAACTTAATAATAGAAATTAGATTCATTCACTAAATCGTCAGTAATATTAGCTTGTATATCCATATCTTCAACAGTACAATAATGAAAGAGCACCATAGAGAAAATTAGACACTGCATCCCATATCTCTTTCACTTCTTCTTCAGTGAGCTTCACCGAAGGTTTTTCAACTTAATTGTTCCAGAAATTGAGAATCAATACAAGGCAAGATGAGAATCTCTTTTCTAAATTCTGTGCAGTAAACTTGGGATGTTTGTCCAAAGAATTCTTTTCTAAATTCTTTTTGTAACCAATTATAGAGTAACAATTTTGTGCAAAAAAACTCTACAACTCAAACAATCTTAACACGATATCACATTGCAGAACTACTTAAATTCTCATTTTAAATTTAATGAGTAACAACTAAAATTATCATATAAAGTTGAGTAATATTTGAACCCAATAAATATCAACTCCAAAGTCAAAGTCTTATAGCTAATTGTTTAAAGATGAGACTCAAAAATTAACAAAAAATAATTTAAACATGTAGAAGTAGAATATTACTTTATAATATTAGAAATTATGCATAATCAATACTTTATTCAAGCGCAATAAGCAATAACAGATCACTCAAAAATGAATGCATGACAGATTACTTTGTACTCCCTCCGCTTCGGGCAAAAGTTCTCACGCGATTTACGATATTTGACTAGTTATAAAGTTAATCAATTTATGTCTGTAATAAGATTTGTTTTAGGAAATAAAATTTACATATTCAAAAACTACATTTTATTTTTTCAATAGTCCCAAAAGAAAAACTCAAATTCGAATAACGTTGAATATATAAAGTAAGATTAAAAATATTACGTTGACCAGAAAAATAGTGGACAAAACCTTTGTCTGAGACGGGGGTTAACAATTTTTTTGAACAGTTAGCAGGCATTAATTCATTTTCTGGGGATAATATAAAGGTGAGTATTAAAAATAAAAGAAAGATATGAAGATGATTCTAATCAAATTGTCATTCCTTTTAAATTTTTCAGAATAAGAATCACTAAATTTTATGCATAAATTAAGAATTTAATGGTTAAGGAAAAAAGTGATCATTGAAGAAGAGAAATGAATAAGAAGAAAAGACTCGTTCGCAATGTCTAATTTGAAGTTCTTGAAGTTTGGTCCTTGAAGTTGCAAAAAGGGGGGTCAAATAAGTCCTTATATAGAATATTCTGTCCGGACGTGCCATTTGAGGTGGCTCCCGGTCGAATTTTTTGATGAAATTTTTTGAGCATCTTATTCATTAAGTCTAGTTTACTCATACCAAATTTCAGATAAAAATTCAATGGGGAAGACATTCAAATGAATTCTTGAAGATAACTGTGCTGTTAAAAGCGCTGTTATCTTCAAGAATTGTTTTGAATGTCTTCCCGATTGATTTTTTAGCTGAAATTTGGTATGAGTAAACTAGACTTAATGAATAAGATGCTCAAAAAAATTTATCACAAAATTCCACCGGGAGCCACCTCAAATGGCACGTCCGGACAGAATCTTCTATATAAGGACTTATTTGACGCCTTTTTTGCAACTTCGAGGACCAAACTGACCCTTTACTCATAAATCTAGTAGTTGAACCGTGAAGGGCTGAAGGCGCGGACTAAAGCCCGTTTGGTAACCTTATTTTTCAATTTATCAGCCAATTTTTTCATCAAACACGTATTTTTTTTATTTCGCGCGCTAAATTGTGTAATAATAAGAAAAGAGAAAACGTAGGAAAGGCTCAAAAAAAGTGGGAAATATTCAAATATGGGAATGGATCAAATAATAAAGTGGGAAAGATATCAATAGGGATGGACTCGGTTCGGGCTGCCCGGCCCGAAAACGGCCCGGCCTGCTACTCTGCGTAACCGGCCCGGGAAACCGGTTCCGGTTTCGGGCTTAGGCCCGGCCCGAGGGGGTAACCGGTTCCGGGTCATGAGAAAAGCGAACCAGCTCGGCTAGGCCCAGTTAAGGCCTTTTTTTTTTGTTTTTTTTGGTTTTGGGCTTTGTTTACTTGGGCTGAGCTAGGTGTTTGCGAGGGGTTTGGGGGTTGAAATAAATAAGAAAACACAAAAAAATGAACCAGAATCGGCCCGGCCCGGAACCGGTAGACTCCTGGGTCGGTTCCGGGCTTTACCCATAACCATTCAAGTCCGGTCGGGCCCGGTCCACCCCTAGATATAAATATGGGAAAATTACATAAATAGGAGAAATTGAATAAATTATAAAATGAAAGTTAAATTTCATTAAGTAAATGAATAAATGTTTCTTTTCTAGTGTTGTCTCAAGTCAGCGGAGCCAATAGGGTGATGGAGTTTCTGCAATTGATTTGGAAAGACTTGTTCTACACCAATAACACCATTTTTTTGGTTGATAACATTGCTTGTTCTATACCATTGTGGTATACTACCGGTTGAGACATGTCAGCTGTCAAACTAATAAACTCCCGGGAAAAGGTGCAAATAGGCCCATGTACTAACCAAAAAAGGTCAAATAAGCCCTTATTTAGGAGACTCTGTCCGACCGTCGTCATTTGGGGTGGTTTCCGGTGGAATTTTTTGATGATTTTTTTAACATCTTATTCATCAAGTCTAGTTTACTCATACCAAATTTCAGCTAAAACTTCAATCGGGAAGGCATTAAAATGAATTTTTGAAGATAACTGCGCTTCTAACTGCGCAGTTATTTTCAAGAATTCGTTTGAATGCCTTCCCGATTGAAGTTTTAGTTGAAATTTGGTATGCGTAAACTAGACTTGATGAATAAGATGCTCAAAAAATTTCATCAAAAAATTCCACCGGGAACCACCCCAAATGGAGACGGCCGGACAGAGCCTCCTAAATAAGGGCTTATTTGACCTTTTTTGGTTAGTACATGGGCCTATTTGCACCTTTTCCCTAAACTCCCCATTGGCGGAGATGACTGCCGATAGCGTATTATGCATATGTGTAATAATCTGACTATATTTTGATATCATACTACATCCCTCCGTCCCAAAAAACTTTGTCATTTTCAAAACTTTGACTGATTATATCGTTTTATTGAAACTTATTTATAATATAAAAATTATATGAAAATGTTCTTTGTTAAAACTACTTTCATAAAAGTAAAAAATTTATAGCTTCTATAATATTATACTAATCAAAATCAATGTTCAAATTTTTGAAATTGGCAAAGTTTTTTGGGACGGAGGTAGTATTATTCTATCAAATAACCCAATCTCACAATGTCCATTCTGAAAAATACGGGGACTTCTTCAACTTGAGAAGAAAATCACACATGTCTCAGTTTTTCAATTTTAAAGGATAAATATATAAATGCATTTTCCAGTTTTATGGAAAAACATAAAATATTCATGTCAGTAAAGAGACCCTAATTATGTAAGCATTATGAATATGAATGCTACTGCCAGATAAGCTACCGCCAGTCTACCACTTTCCTCGGAGTGGCGCAGAATAGTCATGGACCCGGGCCTAGGCCCGGGTGGGCCTCGAGTTTTTTGAAGGAGGCCCGGGACCGGCCCGGATAGCCACCAGTTCTGGGCCAGGCCGACCTCGAGTCAATTTTTTTCTTTTTCTTTTCCTAATTAACCCCCCCCCCCCCCCACACACCCCCAACCCCCCAAACCACCCCAAATGGCCCAAAATACCCAGCCCAACTCGAAAAGATAAAAAAAAAAAAGCCTGAACCGACCGGGCTGGTTCGGCTTTTGGGTAACCCGAGCCCACACCGGGAAACCCCCGGGCCGGGCCTACTCGGACCTGTCACTGGCCGGGCCGATTCAGCACCGTACCGGTCCTGGGCCGGTTCTGGGTCGAGCCACTCGGCCCGAGTCTAAGACTAGCGCAGAATCTCCACCAAACAAACTCTTATGGACCCAACCCATACTAGGCCCATAACACTACCATAAGCACATGTGTAGAACTCACTCCTAAAAGACCAACCGATTAGGAGGAGGGAACACCTTGCTTATAAGCCACCAATCAAGCTCATACTTGACCGGTGTGGGATCGTAACAATACCCCACGCTTCGAAGAGCAACGTCCTCGTTGGTCACGGCTATGTTGGTCACGGTTAGCACCCCCAGGACCCAAACCACCACTCCATAGGCCACCACTCTGAGTGGCGGGACTAGGAAGATGGGGACAGCTCTGATACCAATTGTTACGGACCCAGCCCATACTAGGCCCATAACACTGACATAAGCCCAGGTGTAGAACTCACTCCTAAGTCCTAAAAGACCAGCCGATTGGGAGGAGGGATGATGTGAGTTTTCTCGCACTTAAAAATGATGTAGTAAAGTGGTTGAAAGTACGAGTATCGTCTCCACAGGGACGGACAAAAGAAATTAAAGATTAACTAAATTCAGCGATTAAAAAGAAATAAATTAAATAAATGTGATGTGCGAGATTGGTTGTTTTGAAATTAAACTAATGCGAATGAACGATAAAATAAAAGCTTGGTTTCTTTCTAATTAATGACGAAGGGAACAGGGATTGATTTCGGGGTAGCCAGATTTCTGGCAGAACAGGCCTAATTACATGAAATTGATTTAATTGAGCCTAAGTAATCATTACTAAGTACATACCGCCCTCGCGGCTTAGAGTACAATAATTTAGGGGATCAGGCTGATCTCTCATGCGACAGAATCCTAAATTATTGTCAAAACGAGCGAGTTTACGATCTCTTAATCGCTACTAATCTCTTAGCGAATGATTAAGTGTGTGTGAATGTGTCCTAGAACAAATTAGATCTCTCTTAACTTATTCTACAAACAATTGTAATCTAGTGGCCATCTAGTAGTGGTGGACTCGGGTCAGGCCATCCGGCCCGTGGACCGACCCGGCTCGCTACTGTACAGGACCGGCCCAGTTCTCGAGCCAGGTTCGGGTCGGGCCTAGGCCCGGGGGTGGGTCCGAGCTCAGGTCTCACATTTTGGCGAACCGGGCCGGCCGGGTCCGGGCCATTTTTTTTCATTTGTTAGGTTCAACCCGGATTGGACTTGATGGTTAGGAAGGGTTTGGGGGTGAGGGGGGTAAAACAAAAAAAAAAAAACAGAGGCCTGGCCTGGACCCGGTCCGTGGCTACCTGGGCCGGTCCCGGGTCCACCAATCCAGAACCGCCGGCCCGCCCGGGCCTAGGCCAGACCCGGACCCGGGGTCTTGGAGTAAAATAGCGGAAAACAATGAACAAATGCGTCCCTCAGCCTCTCCATAATGTTTGTATCACTTAAATAGGAGAAGGGAGACCTTATTTATAGAAAACAAACGAGTTTGTGCTGAATTAGGACTGAAACGGGGTCAGGCACGGCGTGCCCAAGGGCCAAGCACGACCGTGCCTACGGAGCAAGTCCGTTTCTCGCGTTTTCGGGTCTAGGCACGGCGTGCCTAAAAGCCAGGCACGACCGTGCCTGACATTCCAACAGCTCGATACATGAATACACTGCAAACACGGTGTGCCTCCCTGAGCACGACCGTGTCTTCCCTTCCAAATTTGGAGGTACTCCCTTCATGAAAGTTGTAGATATTGAAGTCCTTTATCCGCCACAACTTGCCAATGGAATTTGAATCATCTAATCAAAAGATATGATTAAATTGGTGGAAGGTCTCATTCTGAAATCGCAACAACGATCATCTGACTTCATCGTCTGTTTTCACCTTTCTCCTCTCAGATTCTCGAAATGGTGTCTTTTGATCCCATAACCAATCCTATAGCACTTTTGCCATCAAATCTTCATCGTACACCTCCCAGTGACCTCCAAAGATCTCAATCCACTCCTGAGTGCATCTCGAATCACTCGCGAAATGCTTGCACCGGACTCTAAATTCTTGATTTTGACTCCAAATGACACAAAACTCGAACCAACATCTGGTAAACATAACTTAAGCTAAAATTGAGACTTGTAACACCTTAAAGCTAGGAAAACCATCAAAATCCGACCCCAACACGCATCAAATGCGTGTTGTAATACAAACTTATCAAGGGAACACTTTGCTTATAAGCCACAGGCCAAGCCCACATACTTGACAGGTGTGGCATCATAACACAAACTGTGCCAATATTGAACTTAATGATCTTTCATTACCACAGCATGAAAAATAAACACACTATTTAGGGCACTAGAAGGAAATCAGAAGATTCTGTTTCTCAAACCAACGCCAGAATTTGAAGATTGCATGCCTATACTGAGTTCTAGTAACCTGCCTAGTAAGATCGGACATTATTGGTTCAATCACTCTTTGTGATCATCATCGCGATCAGGAATGTTAGAATGAATCTGAACGGTTACCGATGGTCCATGACTTTGCCTTTCTTTTGATGCAAACTTGAGTCTGAGAAGCAACGAGTTTGTCATCACGCCGATGGAACTCAGCCCCATGAGAGCTCCAGCTATAGATGGAGTAAGCATTGTCCCTGTGAATGGTAACAATATTCCAGCTGCTACCGGAAGTCCAACCTGCCATTATCAAAAGGAGGTTGGTAGTTTCTTGTTTAAGAATCTTAGTTGCCGTTTGATTTTAAATCCAAAAGTTAAATAAATCCCTATAAATAGAAGCATTTTTGTGGTGTCTATAAAAGGATCCACGTGTTGGTGTGTTTATGTGTGTGTGCATGCATAAATCATGTGTGTTGACGCGATTATTGATTTAAAGTTTCGAACCTTGAAAACTAAATATTTTTTTATGTTAAACAATGGTGTGGCTTAAATATGAAATTTCATATGTAAATCCAACATGACCTTTCCCTTTCTAAAGTTACATCACCAAAACCAGGAGAGGATTTTCATTCCTTTTCCTCTCCTTCCCCTCCTCCCCCTTCAAAGCCTTTTTCTCTCCTCTCCTTCAATATCCCCATACAAAGCCTAAAAGGTTTAGTAGATTCAACTAATCGTCAGACCAATTGGAGATCGCTGAACCAAAAGTAGTTGGATTTGGCACTTGTCAAAACTTAATGTAAGTTGTGAATTTAAATAGTATAAACTATAAAGATTTAATCAACTCACAATGTTGTATCCAAAGGCCCAACAGAGGTTTTGTTTCACTGTTTTCATGGTAAGCCTACTAAGCTCCAGTGCATCTAGCAACTGTAGAACACATTTCACAGATCTTCAGTTAGAAACCAAATATCAATCCTTTTTAATGAGAGTGCATTGTAAGCCAACGTAATAATGATTCATAAACAAGTCTATTTGTACACTCCAGGTTACACGCCTGTTTTTTGTCCGTGAACAGACAAAAAAAAATCATTAGTGTAAGCTTGTAAGGAGAATTATCTGTTATCCCGAAAAAGTGAATTGTCTGAGCCACAGACAATAAATTTTTTCGGGGTCACAGACAATTCTCATTACAAAACGAAAAACAATTGTCTATGCATAGACAAAAAAACGGGCCTGTACATCAATAATGGTTGAAAGCAGATACTAGGGATTAGAGGTTGTTACGAGTCTCTGAGGCTGTATACTAATATCTCATTTAAAAGTTATCATTTTGTCCTGAGCTCAAATTAGGTCACTTTGAAACCAGGGAATATTAGAGGAAGAAATTAGGAGGAAAGTAAAACGGGAGAAAAATTGGGGATGATGTAAACTTGGTTCAAACTCATTCTGTTTGCATATTTTTATTATTTACAGACTTATAAATCTACATTTATTGAAAAATTGAAGAAGAAAAGTCCAAATTTACTTTCCTCTGTATGTTGTAAGGTAAACATTATAAGCAAATTTCCTTAGCAGATTCTTTTTTTTTTCATTTTCATTTTCAAACCATCTTTAGCGTTACAACTTACAAACACACCTTCAAAGGTCATATGTGTAATATATATATATATATATATATATATATATATATTTGACTTGGAGTATAGACTAATTGTCGGGAGCTACTATTTAACTGAAGCAAACCTGAGAAAGCCGGTTCTGCATGAGAACAACAGAAGACACGTCACTTGCAGCCCCCACCCCACTGCCAATTGCAACTCCAACATGTGATGATGCCAAGGCAGCAGCATCATTGATTCCATCACCAACCATAGCAACAACTTTCTGATCCTGTTGAAGTCCAATCACAAACTTCCTCTTTTCATCAGGCTTAACTCCATAAAATACCTGCAAAACACCACCAGTCCATATTGAGTCATTGGGATGGGAAAGTCTTTTTAAATTGCATTCTAATTTTGGAAGGATCGCATTTTTATGCAATAGGGATGGACAGAAAGGATACCAACGTTTAAAATAACTGCTGACCTTCATATCTTTGTGTAAATAGTGAACTAGGGTTATCGACAAAAAAATACCCGTAGTAGTTAATGATGCCTAGGAGTAAGGACATTACCTTTTTTCCTTAGACATTATTAGCAATGTAAAATGAACCCACATGGTCTTTTAATCTGCCATTCTTACATGATTACATCTATGCTGAGTTCTGGAAAAGTAATAAACAGAGGGGGACTGAGCAAAATTACTTTCTTATGCTTGATCTTACCACGAAAAATGTGAAGGACAATTAAATTTGATTAATGTTTTTAATATATTGTACATACGTTTTGATTTTTTACTTATTAGTCTTTATATAACACACAAAAATGCACAAATGAGTTTGTATGAATATCAAAAATAAATTTGTTGAGTTTGAACATATACTGTATTTTTCTTCCTTCAAGCAGATCGAGTGAACAGTCCATTTTACATTTTAGAAAAATTTAGAGACATAAACAACCACGAACTCCAACCCTCTACGGTGATGCCTTTGTTGAAAGAGATTCGAAATCCTTACATTTTCCTTGGGAATACCAACAACTGATGCTACATATTCAGCAGCACTTTTCTTGTCCCCAGATAGCAAATAGGTACTTATCCCTTGCTTAGACAAGGACTCAACAACATGCTGGGCATCTTCTCGAACCTGATCGTCAACATAGATAAGACCAGCAAGAACACCATCCACTCCTACATATACAACTGATTGGTTCTTAAAGTCGTCAAATTCATGTATCCTTGTATCCTCAACTCCATGCCTGTTTGTGAGGGAACATATTATGTTATCAGAATCACACAACAAGTAAAATCCTCCCTACCCCTTTAATTCTCTAGACATGAACACATAAGGAAAATATATGCGAGTAAAATACAAAAATATAACATCCAAATTTATTTGTTAAAAAGAAAAAAAAAACAGAAAATAAACTTCCATACGAAGATCAGAACGAGGCAACGTCATGCCTTTACCTAATAGACTAAAACCTCACTGTCCCAACCAGAAAGAGTACATTTCAAAAGCTCTGTTGGTACAAAAGCAAAGTGATATTTGATTAAACAAGACTATTTTTCATGTAATTAACCACAAATTCAAAAAAAACGATAGATATAGTTAAATCAGCAAATGAAAACTTGTAGCATGTAAAATACATAGATGCCATGACTTTTATAAGATGTGTTTTTCCAAAAATAAGGGAAAGATATTTTAAATACCCTAAACATTAGAGGGGTATGAGATAAGTACCTCAAACTTGTGTATGTAATATATATACCTTGAACTTCATATGAAAAGTTATCTTAGCACCATGATCATATGTTTTTTCTTTCACAAATGTACTTTTATTTTATGTTGTTAAGTACAACATTTAAAATACAATAAGACTTTATGATGATGAAATTAATTAACATTCTAAACCTCCATTTGTAAAATAAATAATATTACCACTGATCACTTACAATGTACTCAAACTTTCTTCATTTTTTATAGTTGAAACATTTAGCATTTTACCGTATTTGCATACTCTACTTTAACTTTTACGTGATTCACACACTCTCCTTTGAATTTTTTTTATTAATGGATTAAAAAATTGTCCTAAATAAAATATTATAAGATATATCCCAAATTAATATATTAAAATATTGATGTTTATAATTGTATACTAATAGTTAATTAAATATGTTTATGGTCAAAACCGTTAATTTCAAAAATCAAATTCAAAGTATTGCAACTATATAGACAGGAGGTAAGATTAATTTACAACTAAAAAATGCTTAGTGTATTTGAATTATTTATTACCACCATAAATTTACATTTTTGAAAAAAAAAAATATAGTCATGGTGCTAAGATAATTTATTTTATAAAGTTTAAGATATTTATATTACATATAACGGTTTAGGTTTTTATCTCACGCCTCTCCAAACTTTGAGGTTTTTAATTATTTTTCCCAAAATAAAAACGTATACGTTTAACACGTTTAACAAGCCAAACTCGTTTTAGGTGTCAAGGAATTATGTCTGTAAAAACTCAAATGGTTAAATTTGATCACAAAAGAACTCAATTTTTATTAACATGCCTCATAAACAGTGACGGATCCAGAGGGGGGGCAAGGGGGCAGTTGCCCCCTCTCAAACCCACCCAATCCCTATACACACACACACACATATTCAATATACAATTATATATTCTTTGTGTTGAATATCAATATTATTACTTAATATAACGAGTTTGTTATTAAAAACTCTTCTGGCCCGGTGGAAAGATAGTATGCGTGTTTTGAGCGCCCAAACAGTCAGGGTTCGAAACTCTTCGGTTCCCTTTCTTTCGTTTTATCCATCTTATTTCATTTTTTTCTTTTTGTAAAGCTTTAAATCAATTTGAAGTGATTTAACATAAATCTATCAACTTTAGTCTAGTTTAAACTACTTTAATATATTTACAATTTTAGTTTCACATATAATTTGTAAAGTTTATTTCCATCATTTGCAATGGAGCCAAAGACCCACTATTTTTTGGCTTGGGAATATGGAGTAAAGCAAAATGGTTCACTAACTAAACTGTCTGCGCTTCTTTGTTGTAATGCAGCAGTCGGTCCATGCAATTTTTGACGTGATCTCCACTATGGGTCACCCTGAAACAGTCTCTCTGTGCTTTAGTATAAGGGTAAGACTGCGTACATCCGACCCCCTTACCCCACCATAGGTGGGAGCCTTTGCGGCACTGGGGTAATGATGATGATGATATAATTTGTAAAGTTTAACAATTACATTTTTACACAATATAAATTATTTGTTAGATATATTTGTGCATTCGCAACTTAAATTGTACACTAAATATAAAACATACATGTCTACTCGTCCCTTATTCGATACATTTACTTATTACCATAATTTCGATATAATTAAAAAGAGAGTGATTGACCAACTTGTTTCTGACATAATATCATATTCTTTTGTCAAACGAATGGTTTGTTATTTATAACTAATTTTACAATATTTTTTCTTAAGTGTTCAACTATTTGTGACATGTGTGAGATAATATCTAATGCATGTTCGCCCCCCTCAAGAAAATTCCTGGATATGCCACTGCTCATAAACTTTGTTTTTTAGTAGTGTCTTTTCGGTGAAGCAACTAAGTCCCTCCCATTTATGCATCTCCCAAGTGATAATGATAATGCACTAAAACCAGAAATTCTGAAGCTCCAATACGGGGTTAAAACAAGTAAAAATGGCTCACAAAGTACAAAAATGATTACCTCCTAACCCAGTCTAATGTGCCAACAGAAACCTTTTTCTGTCCAATAATTGCTACTGCACCTGATCCAGGTTCTTCTGTAAATGATCCATCTTCTGCCTGTAAATATATTAATCTGAATAATATCCATGCTGCGCCAATATTAATGTAGAGAAGAAAACAAAAGGATAAGACTATTCACGTACAAACATACCTACATCCCATAAAACTTGGCCATGTTGACTTTTCTTGGTCAATGATGGTCATGTTTGACCAATGATATTTTTAATGGTGAAATTATTTAAAATATGAAAATTATATGGAAATGTTCTTTATTAAAAACACTTTCATAAAAGTTATAAATTTCACACTAATATAATAACTAAAATCATTGTTCAAACTTTATTATCATTGACCATGAAAAGTCAATTTGGCTAAGTTTTATTGGACGGATGGAGTGTATGCTACTCCCTCCGTCCCTAAATTAACTTCCGAAGTACATTTGGCACAGGGATTAAGATAGTGGGTATTGTGTGGGGGAGAGTTGTGTAGAGGAGAGAGAAATGTGTAAGAATGTGTACGAATTATTGTGAACCACAAATTCTTTACCAAAAAGGGAAAGTGGAAGTTTATTTTGGGATGCCCAAAAAGGAATGGAAGTTTAATCAGGGACAGGGGGAGTATATGATTAGTTATTGTGCACTTTTCTTTTATGATAATTTATTAATCACCAAGCAAGATGATATACCTTTACATTTGGGCAGTTCATAGACTTAGCAGCCTCTACGATTGCTTTTCCAATTGGATGATTGGTGTTAGATTCAACCCCAGCTGCAAAGTTCAGGATCTCTTCTTGTGACCATTTGTATGTTGAAACTGAATCTTGTCTGTTAAAAAACAATGATCATTGTTGCCTTCTTTGTCCTTTTTTAAAATATCACTGTAAAATTGGACTAGGCGACCCTAGGCCAAAGGAAAAGCTAAAAACTGGCCTTCTTTAGACAATGGGCCGAAATGCCGAATAGGCACTGTCCTGTTAGTAGCCTGCTAAGGGCCCTACGCACATTAAATCGGTCAATTACTCCCATTGTCCCCAAAACTATTCATGTCAAAAGAACTTTTTAGTTCTAAAAAATAGGAGGGGTTTCTAAAATATGGGTTTTAATAGTCAACTTTCACTGTTCAAGTAACATTAGTGTAACGCCTAGTGCCAAACAGTTTTACTCGATTACTTCCAACAATCTTGGTGATAAATTTTAGAGGTATGAGACCACTCATGATTTTTTAATGCTTATGGGGGCGTTTGGATCTAATTCTTAAAACTGCTTCTGCTCCTTTACAGAGCAGAAGCAGAAGTTGGAGTGTTTGGGTGAAAGTGTAGAAGTGATTATGGTGCTCTAATTTACTCCTAGAATCAGTTTTTTAGAAGCTGGGGGAGACCAGCTTCTGAAAACTGATTTTGCTTCTGCTTTAAAAAAGAAGCAGAAGCACAATCAATTCCAAACACCCCCTATGTCAGGATACAATAATAACAACAAAACACACTATATACCCAACTCTGTTGAGTCGGGGTCAATATGTAAAAAGAATTTCCAAATAATAAAAAAAGTTGTAGCTCACTCAAACGTGACCTATTTTTAAGATTTTGAGGGGGGAAATTGCTTATTCAAAAATAGGTATTTTGCCTGAGTGAAGATATTGTTTACTCAACTTTGCATTTGTATCTTCAACGCAACCTTGTGGAACAACACCGGTGACGGTGGGTCGACCAATAGTCAATGTTCCTGTTTTGTCAAATACAATTGCATTCACCATGGAAAAATTTTCTAAGACATTTCCGCCACGCAAAAGCAATCCCCTTGTGGCACCAAGTGAAGTTCCAACCTTTGAATCAAAAAGTGTTGCCAACGAATCACAAAATAGACATACGCCTAATTCAACTTATAATCGATGGATTTATTATGTTCATAAATCTTACCATCACAGCAGTTGGGGTAGCAAGACCAAGTGCGCATGGGCATGCAACAACCTATGCAGAATTCATTCTCTAGTCAAAACAAAGAGATGATGAGATAGAAAAGATGTCTAGGACTAGAAGTACAAAAATATGAGTGAAACCGTTTGGAGTATGACACTTCATGATGATTGAAAAATATTAATTAAGATCAGATTGCTAGGATTCCTAAAAGGACCACTTGTACCTGGACAATGTGAAGGAAATAAAATAGATAGGAAATAAGAGACAATAATAGGCATTTGGAAGGATACAGAATTTAGTGGAAAATGAAAGATAGTTCAGTGACTGTAGATTTATTTTAGATGTGTATTCAAACTCATTTTATACAGTTAATAGTCATTCCTATAAGGCTATAATACAGACTTATAAAATCTAAATAAAGGTAAAATGTCTGGGGGGGGGGGGAAATTGATCTTCATTTCCTTCGCATTTTCCAAGCTAAAGCAACCACGGTACAATATTTTTTCCCTAGCAGTTTCGAGGACCCAAACATATCAAAAGAGATAGAAACACCGTCTTAAGATGTCATAAGAGGAAGAGACTTAATAAGCATCCTTGATGTTAAATCAATTCCCTCTACAAACATACCAGAACAGTACAAGAGAGCTGCAAGGCCAGAGAAGCTAAACTTCCTTGATTAAGAGATGCAGGCAAAAGACGAGCTCCAAAGAGGTTCCAGAACATAAATGTGGCAGCAGAAAGAGCCATCACTCCATAAGTGAAATGCCCAGAAACCTAATTTGCATACAAGCAATTGGTGAATTGGGCTTATCATTGCCAAGAACAATTATTAAAATATCATAAAATCATGAAAGGAGGAAACGGAGAGAAAGAAACAGAGGAATATTGATATTTTGGATGCAGTTTGTGAAATAATAATATTTAACAAGAAAATTTTCTTTGCTCTTTAAATTATATATATTTTCTTTTGATGGCTACATGTAATTCATTCTTTTACAATCATTTAAAGCTAGAACCTATTAACTTGAATTGTGAAGTATATTGTACAATGCTATAGGCATATTGGGTTTAATGCGCCAAACCCCCTTGTAACAGAGGAAATGAATGCTTTGGATCTTAATGGAACTTGAGATTTGGTAGAATCCTGGAATAGATCTATTAAAAGTTAGTGGGCTTCTTATATTAAGATTAATCCAGGTGGATCCACTGTGGTTGAATGCCCGACTAGTTGGTAAGGGTTATGCACAAACATATGTTGTTGACTTTTGTGACACTTTTTCTACTGTGGCTAAATTAACATTTGTCAGGTTGATTATTTCACTTGCCGCAACCCATGCTTGATACTTACATCTACAGGACATTAAGAATGATCTCCTACATGGTGATTGTCAGGAGGAAGTTTGCATAGAACAACTCCTGGCATTGATTGCTTAGGGGAGAATGGGAAAGTATGACAACTTCACAAGTCTTTGTAGGGTCTAAAAGAAAGCCCATATGCATAGTTTGGGAAGCTGAGTCAAGTATTTGTATGGAATGATGAAATGCCAATCATATCACTCAGTCTTTTACAAACGCTGTAAATCAGGTATTTTCTGACTTGTATATGTCGACGATATTGTGATTACTGGGGATGATAATGCTGGCAATTGACCTTGGTTAATTGAACATTCCTTTATAGCCAATCTCAGACCATAGACTTTGCAAATTGAAATATTTTTCTGGGTGTTGAGGTAACAAGGTGAGAAAAGGCATCCATTTGAAGATCCAGAAAGATATAGATGATTGATTGGAAAGCTGAACTATCTCACAGTGACTCATCCAAACATTGTGTACTCAGTGAATGAGGTGAGTCAATATATGGTGCCTCTAACAGTTGATCATTTTTCCACTGAGAATATATTATGTTACTGAAAGGAGCACCAGGGTGTAGTATTGACTATTGTTATTAGAATCACGACCGCATGAGAATAGAATGCTTTGCATATGCTAATTGGGTGGCTCTAAGGATGATTGAAGATCTACATTGGGTTATTGTGTTTTTGTTGATCATAACTTGGCTTCATGAAAGAGTAAGAAGTCAAATGCGGCATCTCGTTCAAATCCATAGTCCGAACATGGAGCTATGACAAAGTCTATGTGTGGGATAATATGGATAAGCTAACTATTGACCGCAATTGGACTAAAAATCTCAATGCTTGCTAAGTTTTGAGTGACAATCAGGTTGTTATACATATAGGCATATAGCCTCAAGCGCAGTATTTCATAAGAGAACAAAGCATATTAAAGTTCATTATCATTTTATTATAATTAAGGTTCAGCAGGGCTGATATGTGAAGACTAGAGAGCAACTCGGAGATTTATTAATGAATGCTCTAAATGCAATTCTAGTTGATTATTTATGTGACAAGTTGGTTATGATATAAATATATGTGCTCCACAGCTCGAGGGAAAGTGGAATACATGGTAGAATATTATAGGAATATACTCCAAAATAACATAGGAATATTTTATCATATATGTAGGAATATTCCAACTTTATAATGAATATATAGGGACATAAACCGTCAAATATTAACTTGAATGTTTGTATATTTATGTTGCATTTACAAAAAATCATTTTACACTTCGAGAGAAGAAGTAAAACAACCTTCATTCTTTGTGGAAGTAGGAATAATTGGCATCCAATTAAAAAATATATAAAAAAAAGGAAATAATAACCTTATCAGCCAATCGTTGTACAGGGGCTTCTCTACTCTGTGCTTCTTCAACCAATCGAACAATATCCCCAATTGCAGTCTCACCACCTGGTTTTTGCACTTCAACTGTAAGCATCCCATTGAGATTGATACTTCCTGCGGCAACTTGACACTAGTATTGAAACAGAACAAATTATTATACAACTCGAAAGTATTACTTTTTTTAAGGATCCCAACACCCCAAGCCCAAAAAAAGAGTGATATTCAATATTTAAACAGAAAAATCAAAAGACAAAATAAAGAAGGCATCCATGTAGATCATACAGCTTCATGCAAAATAACAACAGAACATTAAGAGATGCTGACTACCCCAGGTAATTTAGTGACTGGTAAAGGTTCCCCTGTGAAACTCGATTCGTCAACTGTGCTTCTACCAGCTCTAACAATTCCATCGGCAGGTATACGATCCTGTTTTATGAGAGAATAAAATAGCGGGATGAATACTTAAACATTGAAGTAGTATAAGTAGTAAAAACTTATTGTGTGCACATTAAGTGCAATATGAGAGCTAAAAGTTTAGGAAAAAACAGAGTTGATTCTTTGATTATCAAGAATATGTGAATATGCAAATACAAGACACTTTCTGGGCACTAACAATCTAGCATACAAAAACAAAGCACCATAAACCTACCCCAGGCAGTACAACGATTTGATCACCAACAGAAAGATTTGTACAAGGAACTTCAACGGTTGACGTCTGATCCCCTGTGTCACTATCAACTACAAGACGAGCTTTAGATGGCAAGGTACTAAGGAGGCCTGTCATGTCACTTGTAGCTTTAATCTTAGCTCTCTGCTCAAGATTCCTTCCCAGCAAGACAAAAGCAATTAACATTACAGGTTCCTCAAAGAATGCTTTCCAGCCCTGCATGTGAGAAAGTTTCATCAAAGGAGGCAAGGGAAATTTTTTTAAAACCGTCTACGAATAAGTGATTGCTCCCTCTGTCCCATAATAAGGCTCAAAGCTCAGAGCAAGAAACGACACACTTATTAAGAAAGTGAAATGTATGATTGATATCTTATCTTACTATGTACGAACCCAGGAGAAGAAGTGTGCAGATCCTCAAAGTTAATTAATGCATTGCATTGGAGATCAAACTGGCGATTGTTCATTTTGTGTGGCTCTATGTCTTAAGTCATTTCAGTTAATAGCTTTCTCACATTAATTTATTAGACTGCTATTTTGACTAAATGACGGCAATGATCATTTCAGAACGAGCCAAAAATATAAATAAATAGTGGGATTCTCTGATTGGTTCGATCGCAAGAACTTATGCATGATTGAAATGTGCCATACAATATTGGGCATATTTGATAATTAATCGATGGTGAAATTCATACCAATATTCCATACTTTTAGTGGTTCTACAATAATAATCACTACTGAAAAAGTCAATACAAATAATCCAAACTTGTAAATGTGTCTACATAGATAGATTAAACCTTCATGGATAGACTATTATCCTTCAAGAAAATAATTATAGTAAGGCTAAAGGGTCAAATAGGTACATGAACTAACTTAAAGTGTTCAATTAGCCCCTTATATAAGAGGTTCTGCCCGGCCGTCGCTAATTGGGGCGGTTCCCGTTTGAATTTTTTGATGAATTTTTTTGAGCATCTTCTTCATTAAGTGTAGTTTACCCATATCAAATTTCAGCTAAAAATTAAATCGGGAAGGCAGTCAAATGATTTTCCAAAATGTACTGCGTTGTTTAACTGCGCAGTTATCTTCAAAATATCATTTGACTGCCTTCCCGGTTGAATGTTTAGCTGAAATTTGGTATGGATAAACCAGACTTAATGAAGAAGATGCTCAAAAAGTTTCATCAAAAAATTCCACCGGGAACCGCCCCAATTGGCGACGGCTGAGCAGAACCTCCTACATAAGAGGCTAATTGAATACTTTAAGTTAGTTCATGTACCTATTTGACCCTTTAGCGTTATAGTAATGATATAAAAAGCACTAAACTCACATGTATGACAATGATGAACAAAGTTAATATTGTATCATTATATATTAAATATAAAAAAGATTAATCTAATCTATCTATGTAAACGTGTTTATGAGTATGGATTATTTATATAGACATCTTCGATAGGGATTATTATTGTAGAACCGCTAAAAGTATGGATTATTGATCAATTAACGGAAGCTTAAAATTTAAGGGTATGTATACATTTGAAGATGAAAAACTTCTTCAAATAGAAGTGTTGAAAATAATCGAATATTTTCAAATATGGAATATATTACAAGTAATTAAAAATGAAGAAAGTGTTTGGATTTCATATAATTAAATTACTTCAATCATGAAAGTAACATGTTTAATGCTCCATCTTTCTTTCTATTATAATTTTTATTTTATAAAATCATTTCTTATGAAAATATATCATTGGTCAAAGTTTAACTTGATTTTATTTTATAAATCATTTCTTCAAATATACATCATTGGTCAAAGTTTGATTTGATAGACTGTGTGAGTGATTACTTTGAAGACACTTTATGACATGGGTTTTTTATTGATACATAAGTCGATCAAATCACTAATATTGTGTGCATACTCTGAGATTTGTATATATATATATACTTTTTTTTTCTGAGATTTGTGTATGTATGTATGTATGTATGTGTGTGTGTGTGTGTGTGTGTGTATATATATATATATATATATTGCTTGATGTAACCTTAATTTGGCTTTCCCGTATATTAAAATTGGCATAATTGATTATACATGTACAATTCCATTTTCATCTCACTTTTATGCAATATGTTTTTAACCATCTCATAAATGGGACTATAGGTGAAAATCTAGTTTGTGCAAAGTAAAGCGAAATCATATAAACCACACATCTTTTATTTAAAAGGAGTGTGGAGATTTTTGTGAGGCGTAACTGCGTAAGAATTAGTTCTTATACAATTAAATGTAGTGTGTGTACTAGTCTTAGATGATCAACTGAGAATGTAAGTAACATGTCACCAACTCAGTGAAAAGGAAATATGATGAGATCAAATACAAGAAATTACCAGTTTTGGAATAAATGCTGCCATTGAACTCACAGCAAAAGATGACAAGGCCCCGAGACTGACTAGAGTATTCATGTTTGGTACCCCTCTAATGAGACTTTTCAGACCATCTATGATAAGTTGTCGACCAGGAATAAGCAATGTAAATAAAGACACAGACATATGAAATCCTGTAGAATGGAGTGCATGAATCCATGAAGCCTTAGCTCCAAAGAAATGAGGAAGATGACCAACAAGGCAGACGGCACATAGAGCCCAGGAGACAGCAAGTCCACGACCTGTTGAAAGCTAAATGGTTATTTGGTTAAGTTTCGATAAACAGAGAAAATTTTAGGACAACTTTCCCACATCGTAAACTTTAAACGAGGTAAATACCACTAGTTTGTAGTTGAGCACGCTTTTCATTCATCTTCTTCTCAAATCTTTCAAACAAGATATCTCTTCGGGAATCTGCATTGAAATGGGTATTCGAATTACAGAATTTAAGTTCAATGTTGTATTATCATAGTTAGTAACACTATACAATCACAAGGAGATACAAAAATCATCTAAAATTGGATTAGCAGAACTGGAGACCTAGAGCACATTTGGGTCAAACAATAGTTCTAGTAGTTCGAAAATTCTCAGCGATAAGAGCAAGATGGTCTTTTAGTGAGCCCAGACAGACATAAGCCATTGATTACTATCAAAAGCTTTTTATCATTTTCTAATAAAATGGATGAGTTAAAATATATAAAGTATGAATTATCAGCTTATTTTTGTGGAAGGTAAAATAGTGTATGAATAAAACCAAGCCATTACACCCCACAAAATAAAATTAAGGAAAAAACTGGACATAATTAGCCCGCCATGGCAGTGCCTGCCTACATCAATCAATTAGGGCAAAGTCATGCTGGCAAGATGCCCCTAGTGCCTAGGCGGCCACCTTTTCAAACATTGTTGATACTTACGTTGTTATAATGTTACCAGTCCAAATTCCTACGTATTACAGAAATAAGTATCACCTGGATCACCAGTGGTATTTACCAATCAGCTCATCAGTAAACTTAATGAGGAGCAAGTAATGAATAACATCTAGATATATTAGGCAAAAAAGCCCTCCAGTGCTACAGAAAAAATGCAATGGGACTTGGAAACCCCCAAAAAGGACTAACTATAGACTTACATTGATCACTAAATTCCAAGATGTTGCAAAGGTTTCACAGATAACAAGATTCAAAGCATTGCACATACAAGAAAATTACACACACGTGTGGTCGAGAATGTATGAATCATTGCTGAGCCACTAAAATAGAAAAATAACTAAGGTGAAGGACAATACAGCATGCCCATCATTAGATGAAAATTGTCTAACACTTCAAAACAGAACAAACTTCCATGGGACCGAGAGTTTTTGTTGATTTTATTTAAAAAAAAAGTATATCCATAACACGTAGGCTCCCCAAGTTCATCGATGTCTTCCTTCACAAATCACCCTACTAGCCGCCAGGTCACCTATTGATATAAACAATCCTTTCGTTAAACACATGCTGGCCTAAATTTTTATCCAAAAAAAGTGCCCTTGACTAGGTTTGAGCTGCATGCCAGTATGATGGGGACATACCATGAAGCAGAATGGTTTCTCATTACAATAAAATCTTTGCATTTCATGATGGGGTTTCTCCTTCTGTAGCTCCCTTACCTGTCAATTACCCACCAAGCTTCATATAAGTTATATGAGACCCCAAGCCTAACACATTTTAATTATGTTCAAATTTTAGAGAAGCGAATTAACAGAGTAGAATTGAATGTGTCATGCTTTTAATTTAGTAAATCAGATAGATACAGAGTTAGAGAAAAACAGTTTTATAAAATTAAACATCGGGTCCCACATAAGGGGAAATGTGTTTGACTTTGTTATAAAAATCCTGGGGAGAAAACGTACATCGTCCGTACTTCATTATCTGCTACATCATTTGTACCTTGTTTTCCACATCACAAAACTAATTTGTTTCTTCTAACTATTGGATTTTTCTTTCTAAGATTCCATGACTAATCTCACTACATAAAGGAACGTAGTTCACATTTACTTGAAAAAGAAGCTTGGATATCCAATAGAAAGCACCGATGTAAGTCTGGTACCACAACTACATATTTGGGCATGAATATGTATATCTTGTAAAGGCATTAGCCTCTTAAAAAATCCCAGGTGAGGTTTGCCTACATTACACCTTAGTGGTGAGACCCATACAATCCGGAGATGCTTTGTGGATCAGAATGCCCTTTATACTTTGAAAAGGAAATATGTATGTACAACCGATATGGTATAAGGGTGTGAAATGCAATGATTTTTATAAGTAGACAATCGGGGGAAACAGGGAGTAAGAGGCAGCCCCTGTAATGTGTCGATACTTAATAGTTCTTCAAATATATATAATATTCTTCTGTGAGTTTATCACATCTGTTAGATGTATTACACCAGATACATACACATCAGAACACATGCATCTACACTGCACTGCAGATTTTGGGGGTTCAGTATAGTTGGACATGGACAAAACAGATATTAGTTTTTAACCCAACAGTTTCAACTTTCATCGCAGAATGAACCTAAAATTAAGATGAGGATACAGACAATGGTATTCACTGCAGTCTTCTCAAGTGAATAAGATCTGAAAGCAGAGTAGTGCTAACCTCGGAAATTAGACTCAAATCCACAACTTGTCAAATGATCTGCTAGTTTCTCCCCCAACTGTTTTTGCCAGTTAGGAACAGCTTTGGCTTCAGAAACAGGCCATATAATTGCTGTCTCTGTTGTAAGATTAACACTAGCTGAAGAAACATGTGGCTGTTTATACACATGACATATAATTAATTAGAGCTCCGTGAAAAAAGAAATTTTGAAAGCATATTAGAATGGGCAGTTCGGGATGGGTGGATGTGGATGTTGAACTTCAAACACTGCATGATTAGAAGTTAAAAAAATATGATGCAAATCAAATATTATGCACATAATACATAGAGAGTGGCATTGCCTTTTTCTCTAGGACCATCATTTCATTGTTTAAAAGCTTGGTTATTTGCCACCAAAAAATGCTTAACTTGCGCATTCTGGCTAGGTCGAATTGTTGAACCAGGTATAGTTTCAGGGGTCATTAGTGCATTATTAAGTAGAACACAAAGAAAATGAAAAAGGGAAGATAAAAACAAAAATTTGAAAATAAAAAAGGGAAGATAAAAAAAAACATAAATTCGCGGAATGCTTACTTGGCTTTCTAGAATCCTTTTCACGCTTGCTGCGCATCCTCCGCATGTCATTCCCTACAGAAATTTAAAGAACTTATATACTCCATACGTTTGAAAAATATAATTGGACAACAATGATACGTAAAATGAACTCCTTTTCAATGAACTTACACGGACGTCAAGGATGATGACTTCAGAAGATAAGCCATGAGCTTCTTCACCGGCTGCTGCAATCACACTAGGATTCTCCTTGCCTCCCTCCGGTGCTCCACCTCCTCCTCCACCTCTGTCATTTCCAATAAAGCCACCATTTCCTCCATCTCCGGCGGAAAAGGAAGGCGCAGAGCTGGAGACACTCCGCAGTTCCCATCGAGCAGGCTGCAAGTCTCCAGATCTCAAACTTTTCCCCGAATAAACCGATCCGAGCCGGGCCCGGGTAAGGCGACTCAGAAGCAAACTATGACTCGCCGGTGTCGTAGAGAGACGGAGCTGGGAGTGAGAAAGTAACGGCATCCAATTCGACTTCAGAGATTTAGAAAGTGCTGTGAGAGACATTGTTGAATGTGCTGCTAGTAAGGTTGACTCCATGGTAGCACGAAATGTGAGCTGAGAGAGGAGACTGTGCGAGGCCGCGGGCTATGAGAATGCTGTTGCCAACAATTTATACTCCGTGCTTCCGTCGTGAGTTGGTGGACTTGGTTAGTTGGTGGTGCTCATTTATAATCCCTCTTCTCAAGAATAGGTACCCATACTATTGTAAAGCACTAGGGGTAGTGAAAAAGTAAAAGATATTCCCTCCGTAACAAAAAAAATCTTCTCACTTTTCTTTTTCGTCCGTAACAAAAAAATCTTTCTACTTCTAAATCTTCCCACATACCCTCAATAATTCTAAAAATAATACATTATTACAACTACTCTTTTTGGATTTATCCTACATTCCATCACATTATTCCACTGTCTTCCCATCATACCCTCAATAATTCATATCTCCCTTTTACTATTCTTAATCTACCTACTTTTGAAATGGAAAGGTTTTTAAGTTACGGAGGTAGTAATGAGTAAAAGTAAACTAACCAAGTTAAAAAGTCAACACTTAGAAATCGCGGCCATCTAGGATTTATCCCTAGCAGATTTTTCGGCAGCTTTGGCCTGAGCACGTGGTTCGTGACGTATCGATCAAGAAGGGGAGTCCCCGGCCTTCAGCAGAGGTCGTCGCGGGGAAGCAGTTGCACTCGGGAGATCGATTAGCATGCCTTCCCTCAGCGTAGGGTCTGAAACCTCCACCGATTTTGTGATGTTCGGACGATGGCAAGCAAAGGAGATCGAGGCGGAAACATAGAGAAGGTGTTGCGGATGATTCGTCGGGGCTGATATCGCTAAGGAAGGAGCAGGAGTGGGGCGGTGTCTCCTCACAGTCAATCGGAGGGAATCATGGCGAGGATGACGAGCGTTCCGTGGCTGATCCGTATGGGCGAAAGAAGACGAAAAGATGTTGATTCGTCCCCCTCCCGGACCGCCGCCATGGAGGAATTGTGCGACTAGGGTTTGGAAGGCTGTCTCTATTTTGTTTTAGCTTGTTTGTATTTTTACTTCGAACGTCATTTTGTTTTGTTTCTCACGTACGTTTATTTATGCAAGACTCTTACATTATGTAGGGCTGATGATGGTTTTGTTCTGGATACGTTTGGCTCATTTAGACCCATAACAGGATCAACGAATCATATTGCTCTGTCTAGGCTGATTGGTTCTCAGGCTGATTCCAGGGTCGGTGGCTGGAAGTGTTTCTTTTATCCCTTTTGTCCCTTGTTGAATGTTTTATGATCAATATAATCCATCTTGTTCTAAAAAAATGTGTAAAAGTATGAAAAACGAGAAAAAAAAATAGATAAAGTAAGGATAGTTGAGTATTTTATAAAGAGTAAACTCACCAAAAAAGGAAATGTATGGAACTTTTAAATACAACCCAAAAAGAAAAGTGTGGTGAGCTTTTAAATACGGAGGAAGTAATAACTAGTTTTAATATCCTATCTACTTACTTAATAATAAAGTACAACCTTCTTAATAATTGCTACTGAGTACAATTTATCAATTATCTAATTGCTATTGAGTATAATTGATAAATTATACATATTTGCTATTAAGTACAAAAAACGTTTAACACACATTTACTACTCATCAATAATGCAAGACTTCACATTCCATATTCTACGTATATATATACTCTATATATATATACTCCGTATCTCATTGCATATACAATATACGGAGTAGTTTAAAATATGGAATATTATATATTCTATCTACTTCCCTTCCAAATTTTGAAAAGGCTAAGTGCCCATTTGATAATACCAAGATCGGGTGAATCGGATGATTCTGCTGAAATTTATGAAATTTTGGCTAGCTTGGCTGAATTGACTAATTCTGTTCATTTGTGAAAAAATTAATGAAATAATGAAAAAATTACATGTAAAATAGCTAAAATGGTCCTCCATAGTAACTTCAACCAATACAACCAGAAAAATAACTCTAATCTTATCTTTTCTTATTATTACACAATTCAGCGCATGAAATCGAAAGTTACGAGCCCGTTTGATAGCACCAAAATATGTTATTTTGGCTGATTCTGCTGAAATTTATGAAGTTCTGACTGAAGTGGCTGCATTGGCTGATTCTGTTGATTTAAGAAAAAATTATTTTTAAAATATATTTTATTAATAAAATAAATAAAAAATTATATGTAAAAATTGCTAAAATAGTCATCTACAGTAACTTCGGCCAATAAAGCCAAGAAAGTAACTCAAATCTTACTTTTTCTGCTTATTATACAATTCAGCGTGCGCAAGCAAAAATTACGTGTTTGATGAAAAAGTTGGTTGATAAGTCTGATAAGCCGAAAACAGTGTTGCCAAACGGCCTCTACGTGTTTGGCGAAAAAGCCAGCTGATAAGCATGATAAGCCGAGAAACAAGGTTACCGAACGGGCTCTAAATATATTTATGTCAACGTAAACGCATTGACTCCGTGTATATGTGTTTATATAGATGCAAAATGTGTTTATATATATGAAGTTTTTAAAACATACGAGTATAATTCAACACTTTAGTCCTTCACGGGTCTTTGCCAATGTTAAAATATAATCACAAATTCTTTTTTGATGTACAAAAGAAGTACGGAGTATAATCACAGATATATAAAATATATTTGTGGTAAAGTTTTTAAAACCTTAAGGTCTTAAACCCAAGAAAGTATTCCATAAAGTATTATTTAAATACTTTGATTATCTGAGTCCACTATATAGTCTCATGAAATCAATTCTTAATATAACCCTGAATTATACTTATCAAACAAAAATGTCTAACACGTCTATTCGTACTTACAAAGAGCCATATATATAAAATTAAAAAAATTGTGGTATATATATATATATATATATATATATATATATACATGTCCTACTCAATTAAAACATCTATGAAATTATAAGAGATATTTTCTATATTTGTATTATCACAATTTTTAGTATATAAGAAAACAAATATAATGGACAATATATTTGTAAATATATTCTCTAATAAAGAATCCAGACTTTTATTTCTTAATACATGTTAATAATTAAGTAATTGCAATCAGTAGAGATATATAATAACGACATATCATGCTTATGGCGCATTGTGACCGTTTGATGACCCTGTTTTTCGACTTATCAGGCTTATCAACCAACTTTTTCAACAAATACGTAACTTTTTGTTTTTACGTGCGGAAATGTGTAATAATAAGAAAAAGTAAGGTTGAAGTTACTTTTCTGACTGTTTTGGCTTAAGTCACTGATGATCATTTTAGCTATTTTTCATGTAATTTTTTCTTTATTTTTTTAATAAAATATATTTTTGATGTATTTTTCATAAATGAGCAGAATCAGCCAATACAGCCGGAACTGCATAAATTTCAGCAGAATCAGCCGATTTCGGTGTTACCAAACGGGGTCTGTATGTTTTTGAAAAGTCTGTCTCTTATACCTCCCGTATTCATTTTTAGCTACACCATTTCCATTGTTTACGTTTAATTTACCAACACTCTACTTAATACATGTGGGTCTAGCCCTCCCACATGTAATCTCATTCTTCTCTTTGAATAAACTATGGAAATTTTCTGTTTATATATATTGTTTAAAAGGATGATTATTGGTTTTGGGGAGACTTTAGACAGAGAGTGTACATTGTCTTGAAGGGAGTTAGGGAGAGTTGATGCGATTATAGTGACGGTTACCGCTTCACATCGTAGAGATCATTGCTCAGTTCTTCTTCTCACAAAGAATATGATACTAATGACATACTTCATATCGAAATGGTTATAACGTACAAACAATTGAACACTTTACTAAGTGAGATGTTAAGGTAAGAGATTATGATATTAGAGTAGAAAATGATGGGTTTTTAGACCTGAACATCATGAGCGATTTTTTAAGGTATAATATAAGCATATAACCATAGCATAACTATACTTGAAAGCACATATCTTACGTTATCAAAACATTCTAAAACATACACCCGGGGCAACGCCCGGGTAAAACACTAGTTGTGTATTCTATTCATACTACGTAGAATAAAATACAAAATTTGTGTAAATTGACATACGGCAGAGTGTCAATAAAGAAAAAAAGTGATAATAAAAAAAATGAACAATACGGAGTATCTTTATCTTTATATAATATAAAGTAACAGTCGCTGCACCACAACTGGAGGGAAAAATCCTGTCCATTTCAAGGGGCATGATTGGAAATCCTTATGCAAAGTTCTAAAATGCCGCCTATGTTACCAAGTACTCCGTATTAAATTGTGCAAAGTATAGCTACCAATTTTAGTCTTTTAGTCCATAAATGGAATCATTCATGTAGGCCCTACAATAATAAAAAATTTCCATAAATAAAAACATTCCATATATTTGGTTATGAGTATAGAATGCAAAACACATGTATGATTTATTTAAAGTTCCATAACATTTCACAACTAAAAAATCACACATAAATTCCTACTCAAAATTTTAGATTTCATTAGGAAACTTTCCGTTAAGAAATAAACACATTTTATTAATATTTTCATAAAACACAACCATTAAACATTGCTACTAATAAATTCAACTTTAAAATTCATAACCGTATAATTTCACTATAAAAATATGAAGTACAGTATTTCATTAGGAGATTTGGCTTTGTTGAAATTAAATCAATATCAATACAGTAATTCAATCATATAAATCTGATCATAAATAAGTCCATGTATGAGGAAAATTTTTGCTAAAATAATATTTTCAATTCTTACTTTATGAAAAAATATACTCCGTATAATTTAGCAAGCCTAATTTATTAAGAAATCTTTCGGGTTGCCCAATGTTTAATTCGTATGCAAAATGTATGCACAATATATTTATACACTATAATAATTTAGACTGATACAAAATTGACATCTGATCGAAAAAAGTATAAATGGAAATATTAATAGATGGGTCTCCTTAAATATGACTAAAAACTAGACAAAATGCATAAATAAGATTATCATTGTTTTCTTACTAAAATATGACTTATTCAATCCTAATAGGAAAAGTTTTCTACTTTTATGAGATCACATAAGTCCTATTTTGTGAATATAAGTACTCTTATTTGTACACTTTGTTTAAGTCATATCTAAAGAAATTTCAAATGACAGTAACCATAATATAAACAACCAATTAATCAAT